AAAAAAAAAAAAAAAAAAACCAAAAAAAAAAAAAAAAAAAAAAAAAAAAAAAAAAAAAAAAAAAACCAGCTGTTTTGGAGGTGTGGACACACAACAGTTATACAACATAGTAATTACCCTAGATTTTACTTCATGCTAACAGCGTATGTCTACACATGCCATTGGGAGCAGCAATAAACTGCAGACCTTATTGCTCCAGTTTATTGCTCCCAGGAAGCTCCCATGCACATATTTGCATGTGCGCCTGGACTGCAGCACATACAGCCTGGTCACAGAAGGTCCAGCTGGCAGGAGGCTGGGGGGAAGCCTGCCAGCCCGGGACTGCTCCAACTGAGCTAAATATGCTGCGGAGGAGCTGGCTAGGGCATGAGGGTGCTTCAGCGTGGGGTTAGCTGTCAGGCACCCTCTCATGCCCCAGCCAGCAGTTGCGTGTGTAGACACTGCTGCCATGTATGAAAAGGTCCAATGCAACATAGCACTTGTATTTAAAAGTACTATGCTGCTGCAAAGTTCATTTTGTTTGCCCTAATAGGGGCACATATGTAGATGCTGAGATGTTTGCTGTGCAGCTAATTAGTCAACTGCACAGATGCACCTACACAGGGGTAGATACAGAACCCTCCCAAGCTAGCTGCCTACAGTGGGTCACAAGATGGCAGGGATGTCACAGCTGTGAGATAGTACTTACGCTAAGCAAGGCCTAGCATAATTAACAACGCACTAAAACTCCCAGAATGCTTCAAGGAGGTTGATAAGTCAGCGATTAACATTCTGGTGATCACTATCTGACCCTTGAATAAAAATGCTGACAATATGATAAAAGTTGCAAGCAAGCAGCTCATATTGTTAAAACAGGAAACCACACGGCTAAACCGCAATGACAAAAATAACCGCATATTATTTGAGCAAAGTCTGGTAAATGTTGTAGTTAGGTCATTAAAAATTAACATAAAAAGTGTAACCAGTTATAATAAAGAGTGTGTCACCTGATATTATAATATAAATGAGTTAACTAGTAACCAATAAAAATAAAAATTATGTATATGTGTTATCGCTATATAAGTAATAGTAAAGTTATGTTAAATGCCTCACTCAGACAGAGTGGGGACAGTTTTGTATGTTTTGTCAAAAAAAAAAAAAAAAAGATAAGGGACTCCTTTAAAATGAGCTGTTGACCAGTTCTGAGACTACTAAATCGGGCAGCCGCACCCAGCCTTCGGGTTAGAAAGCAAGGGCTTGATTTGGGAACCTCGTGAACCAACAGACCACCTTAGTTTATGACTTTGTAAAACAATAAAAGTTTTAAATTAAACATCCAGGTCTGAGCCTGTGCTTAATTCAGTCCTTATATAATTCGGCATGAACTCACACAACAGCACTGGGTCACAAAGTGGCAGGGATGTCAGTTTGCTACCACAAGACTAAACTGCTAGGGCAGTGGTCACCAAGCAGTGGATCCACCGGTAGATCTCAGATCCTCTTCGAGTCTGAGGCTGGGGTGGGGGGTTGAGTGCCTGCATGCATGCACGCACGTGTGCACCCCAGCCCAGGAGGTCAGTCCATGGGGGAGGGAAGGGGCAAGAGCTAGATTAAGACCCCCACAGTGAGGGACAGTGCTGCAGAGACACAAGCAGGAATAAGTAGAATGGAGCCCTAGCTGTGTGGGACTTACCTGCTGGGGAGGTGCACCCCCAAATAATT